TCATTTAATTACGGAAGTGCGAATAATATGAATGGGATGGTGTCTCAGGTACCCCAACAAATCGTACAACAACCCGCGTTTCAACTGCCTCAGCAAATCGTTCAACAACCTACATTTCAACCACCTCAGCAAATCATTCAACAACCCGTGTTCCAACCACCTCAGCAAACCATTCAACCACCCCAGCAAATTGTACAACAACCGAAATCTCAACCACTTCAACGAATTCCAAATCCTCCAGTATATGAATATCAAAATTTCCGTCCAAAAACTGAGAAAGCAAAATACTATGAAGAGTTAAAAAATTATGCGGAATTGGGTCTTGAGACTGAGGATAATAGAGTATTCGAACCAATGGAAATTGATTATGCAATAGTCAATATTGCTAATAAATTAGATCAACTTGAAGGATTGCCCAGCTCCCCGAATCCGTCAATAAATATGGTCAGAACCCCTAGAGTAAATACTAGACCACCCTCACGAAAATGCGAAATTTGTAAAAAGCTAGGTCATACTTATCGCAGTTGTCCCATAATTAAGAATATGATGGTTGATAATTCTAGAAAAAGAACCGGTCGTGTGAATTTTGCTGATGGATTCCAACAAAGCCACTCTGATACAGAAGAATTTCCTGATGAATCTGCTATTTCTGATCAAGAAGGCAATGATGAAATTGATGATGATGTACCTGATGAGGAATCCAATGTTAATGTATCCAGAATTAAAAAAAAATAGATCAACCTAGAGTACTCATTAAGAAAACATCTGATAAACAATCCTGATCCAAAGACAAGAAAGATGCATATTTTTCAGAGGGTAAGGAGAATCGAACCCCTCTTCAAGAATTGCAAAATTCCACTTTGACTTGACTATATAGAGAGACGAATTCGTGAGATAATTCAAAGCGAGCTTGAAAATTCCACTTTATTGGAGGGGATTATATGCAGAATCATCCAGAATTCTAATCCCGCTGATAACATCCCACAAGGCGAGACCGAAGATGAAGAAATAATCGAAAATATGGAAGTTGGTTTTGTTCGGGATAAGGGCGAAATAGATGTTCCAACTGTGAGAGGTAAAATCAATTGTTTAGTGCTTTCTGCCATTACAGTTGATCCTGGTTCTAATACTCTCATTATTACCAAAGATATTGCTGATCGCTTGGGATTAAAAATAGACAAAAATGTAAAACACAAACTTGGTGGGATTGCTACGGTCCCAATCGAGTCCGTTGGAATGGTTTATAATGTACCCCTAATGTTGGCTCCTGGCTGTATATTCTATATAGATTTTGTAGTTGTCAATCACTCAAAGTCTATGGTTATATTGAGTAATCCCTTCCTTTATTGTCACAAATATCAAATACTAGGAGATAAGGATCAACTGAGGATCAATTGTAATGGAAGAGATTTTTACATTCCAGTCACTATGCATAAAGTCAAAAATAAACTTGAGGTACATCATGTTATTGCAATTCCTTCTATTTCCGAAGAGACAGATACAGAGTTAGCAGAGCTAGTTCCACTAAAAAAAAACGCATGAGCTATGAGGAGTTAGAAAAATCGCTATACACTGCTCTTAAATCCATTACTGAACTTAATTATTGCAATGAAGCTCTACAAAGAAAGTATAAAAATATCATCGATGCGAGTCAGCCACCAGTTGAATCTGTTATTGATAAAGAAAATATAAATTAGATACTGGATTTTATGCGAGCGCTACTAGCTAAGTTTTTATCTTTTCTTTTTATTTCTCGCTCAATTTGGGCAACTATATCTGTATTGGAAATATTATTTATACCACCCCCACTTATTTTTTCTGTAGAATCGACGTTATCACTAGATATTGGATCAGATATACGCATAAATTTAGACCGAGATTTGGAGCTTCTCTTTTTTATTTCTGTATTGAGGGGGGTAATAGATTCCAGATGTAGATTCGAAGAAACATGATTCAAAGAAGAGGCGGGGTCTCGAGGAAGCTGAGCTTCGAGTCTTTGTCTCAACTCCGATTCACCGCCTAAAGCCTTGCCTTGTAATAAAACCTCGCTTTCAATCCGATTAGAATGTTCAGGTAAGATTGTTGATATAGGTAATATTTCAGAGGAAATAGTATTTTGTATTATTTGTTGCTGACGTTCATGACTTTCCCATATATCATTAACTCGATTTTCATTAATATGGAAATCTCTTATTATTCTATATTTGGGAACCTTTCCCTTGAGCGTTCTAATTGTTTCTATTTGTTTAGAACTTAGAAATGTAGAACCTCGTCGATAATAAGATTTTAGATATGGGGTATCCATAGTTTGTTTTCTTATTGAATATTTAAAATAATAAAAAATAATATTTAATATTTTAGAATGATAAAAAACGATATATATTATTGTAGATAAATGAGAAATATTAACAAAATAAATACAAGGGGCTATGAATTGAAATATAGATAAAAATAATCGCTATGTAACCTAATTCAATAATATTTAATATTATTTTTTAATAGTCTACGATATCTAACGTTAAATATTATTAGATAATTATAGAAATTATTAACGAAGTTAGTTTTTATTAATATGGAAGTTCTGCATATAAGTCATAAATGTTCTCGATTTCTTTATCCCAGTTGGTATTAGTATTTCTTTGATAGCCTCACCGGATAGGTATGTTGCATTAGCACTATAATAGCGGAGCTAGTGTCAAAGACACATATTCTTTATGTATGCGTCCCATTTTATCAATTATAACTGATCTTTAATATCTATTTTTTATTATTTAATATGGCTAATGTACATACACTACGAGATATTAGCTCTAATAAAGGTTATCGCCTTGGCAGTATGCGTGAGCGAGAGCTCGAAGAAACTTTACACCGCAGTTTAAAGTCTATATCCGAGCTAAATGACTGTAATGAAGGGTTGCAATCTAATTACTCGAAACGAGTGAAGGCTTTTGATCGAGAAAGAGAGGAGTGGAATCGGGATTCATTACGAAATAATACCGAGATCCAAAAATTACGTACCCACGCTTTACAAGTTATTAATGAGAATAAACAGCTACAAAATGAAAATACTAATCTTATTTCGTGTAATGCACAAAAGGATATTTCTCTTGCTGAATCCAAGGCTGAGAATGATACGAAATCTAAGAAAATCAGTTCGCTTGAGTCTATGATCGAGATATTGGAAGGTAAGTTGTCTTCAGCCCAGAAAGATGTGATTTCGATTCAAAATGACTCATTAAAAAAAGAATCTGAGATATTTTCTCTCAAATCCAAAATAGCAGAATTAGAAAATATACAGAGCGAATTGGAATTGAAGGTCAATGAACTTGAGCGTCTGAAATCGGAGGCTATATCAAAACCTATAATTGGTGGAGACGACGAAAAAAATATGACTAAGTCTAGTAATATATCTGCAGTTATTGAACCTAGTAAAGATCTCAGCCAATATTTTATACGTGAAAAAAGTATGGATCGAGCTGGAAAAATTGATACTATTATACCGGATTACACTGATGATGAAAGTACTCCTATACCCAAATCTCCGAGAGTAAATACTGAGATTATTCCCAAGGTAAGTGATGAAATCGATATTAGCAAAACTAATAAAGATATATTCCCAACCCAGGAGATAAAGAACGTGGCCCCGTACCTTGCACAACAGAAAAATTATACTCCCTCTTTGATTGAATCGAATCCCCAGATGAGACCTAGTCTCGAGGCTTTGCCTCTTCCGATAGGAGGAATAGGAACAATTCCCATTATGGCAAATACTTTGATGTCACAGCTATCGGCATATATTTGTCTTATTCTATTAATTATCGCAGTTATGTGGTTTGTGGTATTGAGACGTACATGGGGGTTAGGAAGGAAAAGTGAGCGGTTACGGGATATGTGGATCGTCGGATAATGAAGAAAAAATAGAAGTTAAATAAATTTATTAATTCTTAAAAATTATATGAAACAGTTATTATACAAAATGAGTTCTCAAGATAATATCAATCCAAATTGGCAAAAAATTGAAAATGACGTAAAAACAAAGCTTATAAAATTTCTTCAAAGTGATGAAGAATCGATTTCTTTAGATATAAATAGTGCTATAGAATATGCCTTTTATTTATATTATTTGAAAAAAATAATCAATGAAAATTAGTTAAATATACCTTGGAGTATCACTTTTTTTTCGAACTTGAGAGAAAAAAAGAAAAAAGAGCACGAAAGCATGAATGAAGCTGAGTTCTTGAAATATAAACGAAACTTTGAGGCTAAAATGAAAGTTCCTACTACTCCGCACAAAAGAGAATTAAAAACCTACTCTTTAGCCCTCATTGAATATGCGTAATTGTTGTTATATATCTTTCAAGGTGATATAAACTAGTTAAGTAGTAATTTCTGAAGGAGAGAGATTGCTACATTTAACTAGTCATTCATCTCAGGTAAGCATTTCTTACAATAAGTATGCAGAAAAATTCAAATCAAAAATTAATATTTCGATACCTGGATCATATATAGGGGTTTTTGTGTCGCGCAATTTTGATTAAGATAAATTTCAGGTAAGTACTTCTAATATATAAGGTATGTATGAGTCAGAGACTCGAAGCTCAGCTTCCTCGATAACCATTTTTGTGTTGCCTAATTTAGGTATCAATAAAAATGATACTTCAAGGTATCGAAAAAAGTGATACTCCAAAGTTTTCGAATTAGTGGTACCCCAGGTTTCATTTTCTGATTATAAATAGTGTTCACGTTTTTTGATACATGTTTGATAATGATATCCCAAAGTTTTCTATAGTGTTATCCCAAAGTTTTCGATATAGTGTTATTCCAAAGTTTTCTATAGTGTTATCCCAAAGTTTTCGATATAGTGTTATTCCAAAGTTTTCTATAGTGTTATCCCAAAG